CGGGCAGGGGGGAAGCCGGGCCTCGCCGCTGCCGCCTCCTTCCTGGAGCCGGCAGGCAGGCCGGGCGGGCGGGGGAAGCCGGGCCTCGCCTCCGCCGCCTCCTCCTCCTCCCCGGAGCCGGCAGGCGGGGGGGGGAACCGGCCTCGCCGCCGCCACGGGGAGATGGGGGGGATGGAGGAGACGGAGCTCTTCTCCCCCCTCCCCCGCGAGTATCGCGGGTCCCCCCTTGTAAATCCTAACAGCCTTATGTTCACTAAATACAAGCAGAATACCATGCTGCAGTGCTGTCATTAAACTGTATCTTAGTAATTATCATGTGAACAAGTTTCCCTTTGAAAACAGTGTGATGAAGTTGGCTGTTAATCACCATAAAGTATTGTTTTGGGGTTTTAATAGCATAAACCTAACTATGGCCCCGGTCACACGGGCAGGAAACTGCGGGGGAGACGCGTGGCTGTTTGCCCTGGGGCAAACTACTGCGTGGTTACGTGATCAGACTTCCCGTGGAGGTCCTGTGGAGGTACCGTGGAGGTTCCATGGCAAGAGAGAGGTGCTGATCACAGGACAAGCCAGCACGCAGCAAAGAAGCGCGCGCCGCGGCAAACTGTTTTTTGTGTGTGTGTATACGACAAATGCGCATGCTCCGTTGGGTGCGTGTGCGCATCCACAGAGACGTGGACAAAAAAAAACACTTTATTTGCAAGGGGACAGGGGCGGGCGCCAGATGCCACCGGAAACGCGATTAGACGCCCGCCCTTGCCCCGCAGTTTCCGGAAACTAGTACCTCCGAGGTACTAGTTTTTTGCCACGCAGTTTCGGCTGGAAGTCTCGGTTGAGCCACGGGAGTGCTACGCTTCCCAGATGTGCTGGTGAGATCGCGGCTGGAAACTCCGCCTGTTTTCCGTCTCACTTGTGTGGCTTCTGTTCCGTGTGACCGCAGCCTATGTTTACTTGAAAGCAAGGCCCATTGATTTCACTGGGATTTTCTTGTAAACATTTGTAGAGTTTCAGTCTTGATATCTAAAGACTGAAACTGGAGGCTTGCTTCAGAAACACTTAACAATGTATAGAGGAGAATAGGAAGATATTTGCCAGAG